GTGTTGATTCATTTAAACTAACATAATCATCCTGGATCTCTAAGTAATGTTTGCAGCACCTGTTGAAGGTAAACGTGGGTCCAACACAGTGAGGCATAACAACTAAAGGCTCCTGTAAGTGCACAGTGTATGATATTGAACAGTGGTGTACATTAATGAGTCCACAGAGAAAAAAAATAAAAATAGTATCAGTAACAATATTAATAATAATAAACTTTCTGTCACTTTAAGAAATAACGTGCAGTCATTTTCTGAAGGTGTGAATTTGTGTCACCATTTGATCTGTTTTGCTTTGAACCATTTTCTGGCAGTCTAGATTTAGAGCAGACTCCTGATAAAGATCAGATTTGGGGACGTACAGGAAGCAACATCTTTTTTTCCTTTTCTGTTCTCATCAATAGGGGACTGCAGAACTTTTGATAGTTAGTTCATTTCTGCACATCTAAAGGGATCACATCAGTAAACGGGGAAAGGGAGCCTTGAAGTGTAATTCTTGACTGGACCTGGTTGGAAGAGCCTTCACTGAGATATCACAATGTCAGGTAATTATCTTTTAACGTTAATCCACAATTTAGACTATTTAAAGTGTCATGTTTTACAGAGTTCTTGGAAATTTACTTGGGTTATAAAGTGTAGTGTTCAAGGCTGCACGCATTGTCACAGAGATCTAAAACTAAATGCTGTGACTGAAACTTCAATACTTCGTTACTTCATGATTTCTAATTTCATCTTTAATCTAGAGATCTTATTTTTACTGTTGTTTTTTTTATTAGGTGATGAAAACATATAAAAGTTATTCACTGCCTTAATATGACTTTTCCAGCTGCTGTTATCTCCAACCATGTATCTGTTATTTTCAGAATAATTATAATAGTAATTTTGTAAAATCTCAGTAATTGCATAGAAAACTTTCAAATGTGCCAAAAAAAAAAATCTACATGAAAAATCATAATAAGATAGATAAACAAAGTAAATGAAATAATCTGTCCTAGATTTATAGTTGTATACCATGTAATGAATCTTAATCCTCATAAAACCAGTTTCCAGATTAAATCCTGTTTTTATAAAGTTTTGGCTCAATGATAATGTTCCCAAGAGGGAGTACCAATAGGTGGCAAAATCACCCCCACTGTCAACTGCCTGGGGGGCCAAACCAGCAGACGTGAATGGATTATTTGTGGTGCTCATAGCAAAGGAAAACCTCCTTTAAAAAAGAAACATATCATCAGCAATAGGTTGGCAATTCAACTGGCACTTGATAAGGGTTGAAACGGCATTACGAAACCAAACCTAACACTTTGATGCAATGAGCATTCAAAAATAAATCCAGTTAACCTCTAACGGCAGCATGTGTTTACAGCAGTAAATGTCATGAATCGCTGTGTGGCAGGCAGGCAAGCATGAGTGGTGGACCCAAAATGCAGAACTCAGACACAGAAGTGAAACTTAAAGTGCAGCTTTATTGCTGGGAAAAACCTCGTACTAACTAAACTCACCAAAAGACAAACAAAAGGCTGAACAGAGGAACCAAGGACTGAAACACTGGAAAAGAAATACTAAACTGGAGCAGGAGACTAAACACTAGGAACATAGACGCAGAACACACAGCTAGTAGAGGTAAGAGGACGAACAGATGTTAACGACGCGACACCGAGTAGGGGAAGACACAGACACTAAATACACATAGCAGCAATCAAGGGAATGGCACACAGGAGGGGACACAGCTGGAACTAATGGGCATAATGAGACACAGACCTACAAAGTAAAACAGGAAACACACAGACTGTTTTACAACACAAAACTCGAGGACCCATACAGAGCACAGAGGGAGACACAGGTAGGGAAAATAAACACGACAACCAAACCCCAAGAACTAATACAAAATCAGAATAAACTAGAAAATAATAATCATAAACTCAAAGCGCTGGGTCACCGACCCAGGACCATGACAGTAAAGAAGTCTTTGATATACTGTTATGCACCTTAACTGTCGTAGCCTGTGCTGAAATTAATATAAAAAATAATAATAGTAAATCTTTCTCTTTCTTTCTGCAGAAGAAAACACTGAATCCCGAGATTACCTATATTTCTATGAGCTTTCTAACAACACGAGCTTTTCTCCAGCCAACCTAAGTGATGTAAAGGACTTTAACAAAGTGTTTCTCACCACTCTCTACAGTTTGGTTTTCATCATGGGCTTCATAGGTAGGTGTGTCCTCTTGTGTGTATGCTGTGGAGATTATAAGTTTCTACACATTGCACAGACCTCCTTTTCTGGGAATTTCCAACTTGCTGACTTTTAACTATCTATGTAGATGTGTGTATGTAAGACACAGATGAAACGGGAAAGAGAGAATGTTGTTCAACATGTAACAGTGTGACAGGTACACTTATTGCGTTTTGTCTCCCAAAGGTAATGGACTAGTGGTGTGTGTCCTGGTGAAGCATCGCAATCAGTGCAACCTGACAGACATCTGCCTCTTCAACCTGGCTCTCTCTGACCTCCTCTTCGTCTTCACGCTGCCTTTCTACTCTCACTATGCCAGGGTGGGCCAGTGGACCTTTGGAGACTTCATGTGCCATTTGATCTCCGGCTCTCACCACATTGGCTTCTTCAGCAGCATCTTCTTCATGGTTGTCATGACACTGGACCGCTACATGATCATCGTGCACGCTCACAGGGTTGCACGTTATCGCACAAAGAGGGCTTCCATCATTCTGACCGTGCTTGTTTGGATGCTGAGCTTGTTTGTCTCTCTACCGAATTTTATCTTCAGAAAGGCAAAAGAACAGGAATCCCAAGGAGTGGAGTGTGACTATCCTGAAGAGAGCAAAATATGGGAGCGTTATGATTTGTTTACCACAAATGTCCTGGGTCTCGTGATTCCCTTGTTGGTGATGGTAGGTTGCTACTCCAGGATCATCCCCACACTGGTAAACATGAGGACAGCAAAGAAGCACCGCATCGTCAAGCTGATCATCTGTATAGTGGTTGTATTTTTCTTACTCTGGGCCCCATATAACATTTCCCTCTTTCTGGAGTTCCTCCTGGACAAAGAAATAATCCCTGATGATGAAACCTGGTACAAAAATGTAAGGCTGTCAATAAAAGTGACCGAAGCCTTAGCTTACACTCACTGCTGTCTGAATCCCATCATATATGCTTTTGTGGGAGAGAAGTTTATGAGACGAGCCTTGCAGCTGCTGAAAAAGTTGATGCCTGGTTACAGCAGAGATCTGACAGACAGCTCATTCAGGAGGAGCTCAGTTATGTCCAGGGCCTCTGAAGTCACCTCTGCTTCTTTTAAACTGTAGAAGGTGGAGGGCAGTTGTAAGTATTTTGTCATGAATGTTTCACCCTGTTATTACTGCAGACCATGCCATGGACAAGCGAACTGAATCATTTCTTTAACAGGTTTGATTCATCCAGGATGCAGTATCCAACATGGGCTGCAGTCTCACCCAGAATCTTAATCACCTTTGACTCGAATGCTCTTCTTTCTTCTGCTCAGGTTAAATTAAACCTGCTGGTCTGTTAAACCGTACCTGCTGTTTTATAGCAACCTGTAACAGTTTGCTTACTTCTTCAGACATCTTTTTTTAGCCTTACAAGCTTGCAGAAACACACCAAAAAGAGCATAAAACTATTTCAGTCTTGATGTGCACACTGTCTTACTGTTATTCACATTTCTACCTACTTCCACACTGTTTTTTAATGTTCAGCCTTTCATATATATATATGTGTGTGTGTGTGTGTGTGTGTGTGTGTGTGCGCGCACGCGCGCGTGTGTGTGTACATATACATATAGATATATATAGATATATATAGAGAGATATATATTTTGTTCTATTATGTTATGGTTCCTTGTATTTGTCGCTACTTGCCAGTGGAGTTGACTCCTATCCTAATTTTGTATTATCGCTTTGTTAAGACAATAAATGATACAGCAGGTCCTCCACTTACATTAGATGAAGGTCATGAAGTGCATTGTTCATTCAGAGAAGAATATTTGCAGTGAACTGATAAGCTGTACTGAATATACAGTCAGTTTATTTAAGAAGTATATGTGAAAGAACAAAAAATAAACTCTTCATTTGCAAACATTTTCGCCTCTCTTTTTTCTATTTTATATTAATGCTAATGGGGGAAAAAACTACACCACCTCCTTGGCGTGGGGAATGTGAGTTTCAGGACAAACAAGAAAAAGCCCATTATTTGCATACACTTTTAAAAAGGAAAAAGGACATGATGGGTCTTTGACGCTGCATCAAAAACTACCTGACTAAAAAGTTCAGCAATCTGAACACAATGTTTGTTCCATGTAAGCATCAAAGAAAAGGGGGATTTCGTATTTTCATAAGATAAGATGAGATAACCTTTATTAGTCCCACACATGGGAAATTTGTTGTTTCACAGCAGAAAGTGGACAGTGCAAAGTTACAGAAGAAAAAAAAACCCCACTGCAATAGGATAAGATAAGATAATAAGAATGGGGGGGCAGAAGGAGGCTCACTATCTATTTAACATCTTCCATTAAAATGGGCCCAGTGCCTCATGTATGTACGTGTGATCCAGCATAAGGCCCACTTGTAGTGCACATGCAACTAAGTGACAGGAGTGTTCTTGCTATACTAAAGTGAGAAAGTGATATTACTACTACTAATGTGATATTATTAAAATATATGATTAATACATCCGAAAAAGAAATCTTCCACGACAGGAATCTCTCCATCCCACATCGTGGGTTCCGCAGCCTGTCACTGAAGGAGGTGTTCAGTGCTGTCAGGGTCTCTTGCATGGGATGGGAGATGTTGTCCACAGCTTAGCCATCATTCTCCTGTCATTCAGCACCTTCACAGGGTCCAGAAAGCACCCTAGAACACAGCTGGCCCTCCTGATCAGCCTGTTCAGTCTCTTCCTGTCCCCAGCAGAGATGCTGCCGCCCCAGTAGATCACAAAGTAAAAGATAGTTGAGGCCACCCACCACAGAGTCATAGGCCATGTCCACAATAATACATTTTTGTTCGCAAACGCATCTTTTTCTCTCCGTTTTGGCCTTCTGTCCACACTGAGACAGCGTTGTTTGTCAAGGAAAACAGAGCTTTTTGAAAATGCTCTCCAAAGCGGATACATTTGAAAGTGGATACATTTCGCAGCACAGTGTAGACTGCATAAACGGAGACTTTTTAAAACGATGATGCATTTTAGTCATATGATGCAGTTATGTGACCAGTTAAACTAAGATAGCGGAGGGCATTATACAGCAGTTGTATAGCTTTTCTTCAAATTCTTTAATTCTCAACCCCTTTGCAACTTTGTACTTTTATGTTACTCGCAGCAACAACTCCATCTTATTGTCAGTCCATTTAAAAAACACGGTGCTTTTCCACAACATTTTGCTGCGAGGTTTCAAAGAGCCGGAAAGTAAATACGGGGCTGACAGGGCAGTCTTACATTTCACCCATGCGCAATACAGGAACATAGCAGTTTCCATTGTTTCAGTGTGGATGAACAACTGTTCGGAAACGCTTGAAAACAATAGAAAATGCCGTTTTTAATTTTATCCGGGCTAGTATAGACGTAGCCATAAAAGGTCTTCAGGAGTTGACCCTTCACTCCGAAAGACCTGAATCTCTGCAGCAGGTACAGCCTGCTCTGCCATTTCGTGTTAAGGGCATCTGAATTATGAGTCCAGTCCAGTATATTGTTCAGATAAACACCAAGGTACTTGTAGCTATCCACAGCCTAAATATCCATACCTTGAATGTTAAGTGGTTGCAGTGGAGGATGTTTGTGCCTGCGGAAGTCTACCACCAGCTCCTTGGTTTTACTGGTGTTGATCTGGAGGTAGTTCTCCTAGCACTAGTCCACAAAGACTTGGGTCAGTTCTCTGTACTCCCTGTCATCCCCATCAGTGTTGAGGGCGACAACTGCAGAGTCATCAGAGAACTTCTGAAGAAAGCACTGAGTGGAGTTGTGGGAGAAGTCTGCAGTATAGATGGTGAAAAGGAACGGAGCCAGAACCGTTCCCTGTGGCGCCCCGTACTGCAGACAACCCTGTCCGACACACACCCCTGAGTTCTCGCGTACTGTGGTCGGTCAGTGAGGTAGTCCAGTATCCATGATGTGAGGTGATGGTCCACTTCTAAGTTCTCCAGCTTGTCCTTCAGGACCATGGGAAGAATGGTGTTGAAGGCATTGGAGAAATCAAAGAGCATGATTCTCACAGTGCTCCCACCGGTCCACGGAGGGAACGATGTAGGAGGTGAATGACGGCATCATCCACTCCAATGCCAGGTTGGTAGGCAAACTGAAGTGGGTCCAGTGATGATCTCACCAGGGTCCGAAGCTGAGCCAGCACCAGCCGCTCCAGGGTCTTCATCAGGTGGGGAGTCAGAGCCACCGACCTGTAGCTGTTGAGGTCCTTGGGACGGGGAGTCTTTGATACTGGTACCACACAGGAGGTTTTCCAGAGCTGTGGAACTCTCCCCAACCTCAGGCTCAGATTGAAGATGTGCTCGAACACCCCTTACACAATTGGTCTGCGCAAGACCTGACGCTTGAGCTAATGCCATCTGGATCCGCTGCCTTCTTGACTTTAATCCCCCTCAGTTCCCTCCTAACATGGCTGGTTGAGAAAGACAGGCCAGAGCCTTGTGGTGCATGGTGTCTGGGGTGGCACAGCAGCAATGGGGGTGGGTGAGTCTGCAGCCAATGTTGGAGACTGCATCCTGGATCAATCAAACTTGTTAAAGAAATGATTCAGTTCATTGGCCCACCTCACATCCCCCCGGCAGGGAATTATTAACAGCATGTTAATAAAAGAATCAGAGAATATGAGTGACAGCTGTTGCTAGAATGGACAAAGTCTGTCACTGCATCCCCAAATGCAAGTTTAAACTGTTCCATGCAAAGAAAAACTATACATTTACTGCACATATCAATAAACATGCCTGTTCAATTGCACATAAACAGAAATATCTAATTAGCCAAACTCGTTGTAGCAACTCAGAGCATTTAGACCTGCACCTGCACACATGGTCATGTCAACCTGCTGAAGTTCAAAGTCAGCATCATAATGGGGGAGAAATTCAGTTTAATTTCTGTTTACCATAACGTGGTTATTTGTGCAGAGGGGCTGTTCTGAATGTTTCAGGGACTACTGCACTATCTATTCAACCATCTTTAGTGTTTACAGAGAATAGTCCAAAATAGAAACAATATCCAGTGAGTTCCAGTTCTCTGGTTGAAAATGTCTTGTTGATGGAGAAGACCCAGACTTCTGACACAGACAGCTGGCACTAATGCACCAGTAACTCAAATAACAACCAAAGTATGCAGAAGAGCATCTCTGAATGCACAACACTCAAATATTGCAGTAGATGTGCTACAGCAACAGAAGACCACATTGGATGCAACGCTGTTAGATAAGAGTATGGGTAATGGCTGATTTTAAGAGTTTCAGTCAGGTTTCAGAGCTCATCACAGCACAAAAACAGCTTTAGTGAAAGTTACAAATTATCTTCTTATGGCCTCTGACAGTGGACTCATCTCTGTGCTTGTCCTGCTAGACCTCAGTGCAGCGTTCGATACTGTTGACCATAATATCCTATTAGAGCGATTAGAACATGCTGTAGGTATTACAGGTACTGTGCTACAGTGGTTTGTATCATATCTATCTAATAGACTCCAATTTGTGCATGTAAATGGAGAGTCCTCTTCACACACTGAGGTTAATTATGGAGTTCCACAGG